GACTTCGTGCATTTGTTGGGTTTCAACAGTAAGTTATCCCTTCATGGAACAAGGCTGATTTCTGAGTATCTGCCATCAGTCCATGTGATTTGCTTGTATGACCAATAAAAGTCTTGGGATTTTTTGTGAAGACTCCCCTTATCGGAGCCCTATAATGAAGTCAATGAAATAATGAAGATAGTGTCCTGAACACAGACACGAGTTTCTTGGCCTTGAGTAGGATGAGTCCATGTTGAAGACATGTGGGACAAATTTTTGCAAAAGGTTCAGGCTGCAGAGACGGCCATGCCAGGGAAACCCCACGGAGTAACACCCACTGTTATCTCAATAAACATCCTGTCTTGCTGAACTGATTTTTGCAATGGAGGGTAGGGGGGCTGTAGGGCACTGGGGCCACTCGAGTTATACTTGACCAAGTGGTGAGAGCTTGGGATGGGAGATAAGGGGAAAGTTTGCTACCAGGGCCATGGGGGGGGGGAGGGGTAAGGGAACATGCAGATCTTGGGAATAAACTCAGGGCCTTATGCATACCCTATGCCAGACACAGTAACAACAAAGTCTCCAATGGAGACGTTACTGGGCCCGCTCGAGCAAATCGACGATCAACGGGAGGGCCTTTACTTTACTTTACTTTACTTATGCATACCCAGCATGTGCTACTTGAGCTATGGCTATTTTCTTTTTAACACTGACACTTTTATTTATTGGAGGCTACTAGGACCCAGTTGGTCTCTATATGTCTCTCCAGTGATTTCTCTACGAGAGAAAACCGTTCCAGAAACACACATTCGAGTTTCTTTTCATCTCTGTTTGACAAGGATCCTCTACTCCACATTGGCTGTCTAAACTTAAGGTATTCTAAAGGTCCAAGACAATACTCTGAAAAAAGTGAAATCAGCAAGGTACACCATCCCACCAAGGTGAAAACAGCAATTTGGGTAACTGGAAAAAATAGCAAACTGCCTCAGATCGATTAGTAACTTATTAAAATGGGCCTGATCAGAGTCATTAAACAGCAGCAGCATTTGGTAGGTTGCTTTTCTCCTTTATAAATATGAATCACATATTAAACTTAGTTTCTTCATACTAAAAGGCTATGTATGTTGTCAACATTCAATAAATGTTATAAATCCAATTATTTTATATTTCTGCAACCTGAAATTCAGTGCCCTATGTTTGCACTTTACTAAATTAATAAAGGTCGTTTACTTCCTTTTTTTTTTTTTTTTGCTTTTTTTTGGAGGGGGGGGGTCACAGGGGTTACTCCTGGCTCTGTGCTCAGAAATTACCCCTGGCGGTGCTCAGGGGACCATATGGGATGCTGGGAATCGAACCTGGGTTGCCCGTGTGCAAGGCAAACACCCTACTCGCTGTACTATTGCTCCAGTCCCTAAAGGCCATTTACTTCTAGCTTGCTAAGAGATTTTATACATTTTCAATAAAAAAAATAGTGTTTCATTGATGAAACAATCACTGATAAAAAATGATGGTTGATCATTTTTTACATTCATATAAAATTTTATTACAATCTTTTACTTATTGATGCAGACACTTAAGCAAAATCTAAAACATAGTATTTTTTAATATAAAGCCAGTATTCCCTTTTTTAGAATAAAACACACTTCAATATTTGTATAGGCCTATTCAGATTTTCCCCTTAAAATTTTCATAATTCTCTTCATTCTTACTAAGTTTTACATGTGTAGGATTTACCTATTTTGTGTAAATTGTATTAGCACAGATTAACATTAATTTTTAAATCTATTTAAAATAGATTTAATAGATATAAATTTTGGAAAAATAAGAGATAAAACTTTGAAAAATAATTTAGCAATTTACACTAATTTACGATTCTGTGAGGTTTCAGATTAGCTCTATTAATCTATATGTGTGTAGGTATCTCCACCTCTACAATTTAAAAAATAGAAAGAGAAAGATCTCTTCCATATGTGGGATAAAAAGGAAATATAGAAAGGGAAGAAAAAATGGTCAAAGTCATTGAAACTCAAGATTTAGTCTATAGAACTAAGCTTTTGGGGGTGCTATTTGGGGTCCTTGGAGGAAAGTGGTGGAAACTGGTGGAGGAAATTGGTCTCTGGTGATGGGTGTGCTATTGGAGAAAGCATGAAAATACAATTAACAATAACTCCGGTACCTAAATAAAAATGGCTAAAGTTTTTTCAGTACCCCGAACCTTGCCTAGTTAACTTACACTATGAATCTACAGTAGATACCCCTTTGTTCACCTATTAAGAGTACTCTCCCTTATTAAAGATGAAACCACACAACTGCTTCACCTCTGTATCTCCCCCAGGCTTTCAGTCAGTGCCTTTTGTGCAGAGGCCACTTTGAATATAAATTCAGAATTTCTCCTCTTTCTATCTGGGGGTGTGGCTCAGTGGCAGGGCACTCGCCCTGCACACGTGAGGTCCTGGGTTCCCTCTCCAGTGCTGCATGGCTCCCCAAGGACCACAGGGAGTCACCTCCAAGCACAGAGTCAGGAGTAACCCCAGAGCACACCAAGGTGCGTAGCAAACCCATAAAAATATTTTCTTTCAGTGAAGGATCTCCTTGGTTTTCAGATGCACCCCTTCTTCTTATAAAGTTTCCACTGACCATCCCAGTCCACAGGTCACATTAACTTTCGGACTCCTATAAAACTCCATTTAATTGCCACCAATATTATCACTGTGTTATCTTTATGTACATATGCATTTTATAATCTTATGTTTTTGTGTATTCCAATAATATCTTGGCAAGCATGGCCAATTAACATTAATTAATTCAACCAACCTTTCCCAAAGAATGAGAAAAAGGCTACAGACAAACTGGAACCTAAAAGTGATCTCATCCATGGCCATGAAAAATGCCTATTACTGAAGGGCCAAAAACCCTGACATGCATGATGATAAAAGTAAACTGCAACAGAATTCTCTAAATGGTCTCAAACTTCCCAAGTCTTCCTCATACTTCAGGGAGACCTAAATGCCTAACCAATGAAAGCAGATAGCTTGAAACAAAAAATAATAATAAATTATATTCCACTTACAAAGCTAAGATTTCACTTGTTTTTACCTAATTTTCCCTGCTAAAGACATTTTTACAGTGTGCAGTATCTATCATTCTACTATGAGCAAGCCTTGTCTTTTTTTAATTTCCACTAGGCTTCTTTCTCCCTAATGGACGAAAAGGAGGAGAGCAATCTTTGAATCTTCACTTCCTTGATATCCTTCCACAAAAGGAACTGTATCCACTGCAGACATTTCATAAACACTAGCAGAAGAGCTCTCAAGTCACTGGCATTTTACACACATTTGTGGCAATTAATGAGCTTAACCATGGTATTTGCACACCCATTTCAGTCTATACATTTAAGTCATTCAAGTCCATCCCATATACAACACAACTACAAATTTCTGGTTTAAAGGCAACAAGGGAGTTAGTTCTCTAGCAAGTATCTCAATCAGAACAGTCTATGAGAGTCGAAGACAAAAAAAAAAAAAAAACCCAACCAGCAGGTAGGTCAATTGCCTTGCACACAACTAACTCCAATTAGAACCCTGCACCATATATGGTGCCTGAGCCCCATTAGGAGTGATCCCCGAGTATAGAGCCACGAGTAAGTTCTGAGCACTGTTGACTGTGGCCCCAAAACAAGAGTCTAGCTATGCTAAGTGGGGTCTCCAGATAAGCAACATTCCATAAGACCACTCTGGGGCGGAATCCTCAGGTCCCCCAGAGGCCTCCTAAATTAGATTTTCCACTTAAAGCTACCCCCAGGTGTCTGTAATCTGTAAAGGGGATCTCAAATCTCTGATTTGAGAAGCCAGTTTCCAGTTTAGACAGAAGAATTAGAATGTATAAGGCACACGTGATGAAGAAACACTAACTCATTGTAAATTGTAAATGTGTTGGTCCTTCTCTGCTACCTGAAGGCTTGCTGACCGCAGGAACCCTTTCTCTCCCACCACCAGTATTCCCTAGGCCTAACAGACCCTGAGATATGACCCAGGGCTCAGTAAATTTTTGCTGAATGCATAAATGACTGAGCAAAGTAAAAACAAAACTTTTCCCGGAAGGCTAATCTCATAGAAAATTCCTTTGTCCATGATTTCTACATACGACCATACTTCATTAAGTTTGGGGTTAGTAATTACACTGAAGATCAGCTGCCTTCCCTCCTTCCACGATGCACCTGACAAAGCTAAGGCTTGGAACTTCCACCACGCATCTGACACAGCTAAAGCTGATCTCCCTGTTTGGGGTGGGGGGCTTCGTTAGCAAGTGAGGTGGCTGCATGTTAATTCTGGCTTTCAGAGATCCCCGTTCCCGCCGCTTCCACAAGATGAAATCACCACCCCTCAAACGGATAAAGCAAAACCAATTTCGAATCAGGACATCACACCACACCTGGACACCGGGCTTCTTTGAGAAGGACACTTCCAGAAAACAATGCCCAGCCGGTGAAAGCTGCAACACCCTCACCTTTCTCCAGGGCAGAAGGTGATACTGGAGAAGCCCAAGGAGGGATGAAAAGAACAGCGACCGCCTAGCGAGCTAGGGACAGAGGGAGGAAACCCGGCAGACCGGAACGCCAGCGGAGAGCGGAGAGGAGGATGCCAAAAACCACTTACAGGTCTGCAGAGCAGGAAGTCCAAGGAGAAAATCGGGGAAAGGAAAATGCTCTAAGCACTGACAATGACGAAGATTAATTTTTTCTTTTTAAGAGACCTGACATGCACCAGAAGGGAGGGGCGGGGAGAGGAAGGGAGGCTGCAATTTGGCGCACTGCAAAAGGAAGCCACTGCAGCCGTCCCTGCTCAGCTCAGACTGTCCAGGGGAGGCAGCCCTGGCATAGGTGGGTGGCAACGCCCGCCGTGGCCTGAGCCATCTCCTCTGCAGCCTCGGGGCGCGGGTGGGGACGCGGGGAAGGGCGCGCCGTCGGCGGGAGGCCTGGGGCGGGGCGCGCGGATGCGGGGCTGGCCGCGGCAGGTACCCACCTTATCCCACCGGAGCCACTGCCCGATGGCCGTGTCGAGCTGAGGGTCCCCGGTGTGGTATGGGGGGGCGTGGAGCACGTTGGAGTTCATGTCCCCCTCCGCCTTCTCAGCCATGGCACAGCGACGGGGGGCGCGGGCCTCGGGGTGGGGGGGTCCGTGGAGACGCCGAGTTGCAGGGGGGCTGAAGGCGCGATCACCAGGGTCCCGCCGCCCCCTCTTCAGTGCAGGGCATCGGGGGCCGAGCGCAGCAGCCCCGGCCACGCGGGAGCGGGCTGGTGAGCGGCTGTCCGCGCCCGGGCCGCCCGGCTCCGGTCTCGGGGCGCACGGACGGCGGCCGTCCCAGCCGGAGAACAACAGTCCCAGGTGCCGGGTCCCCGCCGCCGCCGCCGCCGCCGCCGCCCAGGCCCCGCCCCCGGCGCGGCCGGCCACGCCCCTCCCCGCCCCCGCCGCGCTCGGGGGACGCGCGCGCGTGCGTCAGGACCCGCGGGTCGCGGAGGCGCTGGCGGGCGGTATCTGGAGGGCGGCTTGCTGTATTTGTAATTTTCTTGCACCGCGTCTCCTTTTCTCCTTCAGCTGCCCAGTAACGGCGACCCGCCGTGGACTCCCGCTCTGCGGCTCCCGGGCGCGCCCCCGCGCTTTCGGTCCCGTGTCCGAGCCTCGGGCTGGGAGCACGCGCCCGGTGGGAGGGCACGCCTGTGGGGCCCCGCAAGGCCTCACGGGAGTTGTAGTTCTTTTCATTCGCGTAGGCCTTGGGAGATGGCCACAGAGACTACAACTCCCGACGACACCCCTCCCTCTCTTTTCGCAAAAAGAAAAAGATCTGCCTCGAGGCTATTCCCTCCGGGCATGCCCTGCCCCTGTTATTCAGCTGTGTGGTCTGCCGATTAAATGAAACGGATGCATTAAGTAGTATTCATTTAGTGCTTTGCAGTTTACGAATCGCATTGTATTCTTTCAACCGGAGATGGGCGTGATGCACCCCCTTTTAGACACAAAAAAGAAAATCGCTTTTCTTTTCAAAAGGAAAGAATTGTTAAGTGATGGAACCTAGCTTCTAGCTTCCTTCACATCTCCTCTGCTAGCAATTCTTGCAGGATTGCAACAGTGGCTAGAAGGCAGGGAAAGAAAACAAGATGACTGAAAGCAGAGAAGTGGCAGAGGATATTTGACCTTAATATAACAATGTATGAATATTATTATGAGAGATCCAAAAAGCAATGCTAAGAAAGATACAGAGAAACAAAGATCACTAAAGTCATCTTAAATTTTCTCTAATTTGGGGTTCCTTTCTTCTCATTTCTCATCTTCTCAAAAAAAGGAATGCTCTTCTCTCCCCCCCCCCCCCCCCAAATCACATGAGGTCTGGGAGATGCTGACATAAGAACTTGGCTATCAGAGTTTTTCCTGAGATTTCAGTATTGGGTCTTACAGGGAAGCTACAAGTTTTGACCAGGTACATTACAACTCTTACCCTACTCAGCTTGTTTGTAAAAAGGGTATAATATAATATCATGGCGGAACAGTTACCTAATAAATGGCTTTAGAGCATGTCGAGGTTCATAAATGAAAGAGTTAGTGAACTCAAAGTATTATTTTCTTTTATTTAAAGGTACCTTTACCTTAACAAAAATCCGAACTACAAGGAACAAAATAATTGTCCAGTTAATTCCTAATTTACAGCTTGAGGTAAATATTTGGGGGGTTCCTTTATTGAAGTCTGCAACTTCTTTTAATCACTCTAGACCAAGGAAACAACCATATGTCCTGAAAAAGAAACTAACCCTTCTCTATTATTAACTTTATTTCAGAGACCACTATTAATGATATAACGGTCTACTCTATACTAAGCATTATGCTAGGAGCCAATGCTATCAGAAAGTATATAAAGTACCCATTTCTTTCAAAAATAAGATCTGTCTGGAGTGACAGGATATATGCAAGAAAAGATTGCCAGACAGAGGCTGGCTATAAACACCTATTAAGGACTTTAAAGTCAGGAGCTCAGTAAAGCATCAAGTGAAAAGGGACTAGAGGAAAATTCCTAAGTAAAGAAAAAATGGCATTTCAAGTTCATAGATCATTGGTTCTCAAATCACCATAGAGGTTTATTTAAACTGCATATTCCTCCGGCAAGAGATAGTAGAGTTGGTAGGACATTTGCTTTGCATGCAGCTGGCCTGGGTCAGATCCCCAGTATTCCATATGCTCCTCAGAACCCCACCAGGAATGATTCCTGAGCAAAAAGCCAGGAGTAAGCCCTGAGCACTGCACTGTGTGCCAAACCCCTCACCCCCCCAAATGTACATTCCTGTAAAATGCTCCAGAAATTCTGAATAAATACGTAGTGACAGGGTCTATGTTCCTACACAGCTAATAAATATCTATTGGTTGTAACATAAGTGGCCTTAATGCTGCTGGTCTCACTGTGTGTTTGGAGACTCAGGGAATTATACCCTCTGGCAGATTATTTAAAAACACAAAATGTCAGGTCCTACTTCAATTCCACTATATCAGAATCTATATTTCAACAAGATCCAGTGACAACTTACAGGCCTATGAAAATTGAAAGCAGAGTTTTTTTTCAAAACTATTTTGTGTATTTTTAACATTGGTTTACATCACTGCTCAAGTTTCAGGTGTGCTTTTCACGCCTCTTTAAAAGTGCATGCCACATCTATCACCCAATGACAAATCCCTCCATGACAATTTATTGGACCCTCTTAACCCTTTGTATATTCTCCCATTTCCCCTGAAAACCTCAACTCATCAATCCAAATGCAAAAGTTGGTTTGGGTTTGTTTTTGTCTGTTCCCCTTGTTTCTTTATGTCCTTCATGTGAGTGAGATCACCCGTATTTGTCTTTCTCTTTCTGACTTCTTTCGCTTATTTTCTCCATTTGTGTTGTCACAAGAGCAGCAAGACTTCGTATTTTCTTGTGACTGAGGATGATTCCATTGTAAATATAAACTGCAACGTCTTTATACACTGATTCATCATGTGTACTGGGTTGCTTACGTATTTTGACAATTGTAAATAGTGCTTCAGCAAATACAGCAGTGCATATATAATTTCAAATTAATATTTCTATATTCTTTAAATGGATGCCTAAGGAGGTATTGTTAGATCATATGGTAAGTGTATTTTGAGAAACCTTCATACTGATTTCCAAAGAGACTAGACCAGTTTCCATTCCCAACAACAATGTGAGGGGCTCCTTTTATCTCCACACCCTGGCCAGCACTTGTTTCTGGTGTCTTTGTGATACGGGCCATTCTCACAGGTGTGAGGAGATAGCACGTTGTAGTTTTGATTTGCATCTTCCTGATAATAAGTGATCATGAGCATTTTTTTTCATGTTGGCCAGCAGTAATGGTATTTTGGGGGGGACAAGGGCACACCCAACTCTGTACAAGTGCAACTCCCAGCTCTGCTCAGTGGCTGCTCCCACTGTGCTTAAGGGTGTGCCCGGGGGAAACCCCAGGTCTCCTCATGCAAAGCATTCACTCGGCCTCCTTTACTATTTCTTGGTCCCCGCCAGTGTGTTATCTCTCTCCCCTCCCCCCATCTTTGTTTGTTTTTAGCGGGATCCACACTTGAAGCTGCTCAGCAGTTACTCCTGACTCTGCAGTTACTCTTGGCAGGGCTCAGGGGATCATTTGGGGTGCCGGAAATTGAACCAGGGTTGGCCATGTGCAAAGTAAGCTTCCTACTTGCTGTACTGTCTCTCCTGGCACCCTGCCATTAGTATATTTTCTTTTAAAAAATGTCTACTCATCTCTTCTATTATGCTGTGCGTGTGTGTGTGTGTTGAATTTTACAAGTTCTTTATTTACCTTGCATATTAGCTCCTTGCTTGATGTATGAAGTATTTTCAACCATCTGTGGGATGTCTTTTTATTTTACTAGTATTTTCTTCCCATATGCAGATGACTACACAGCAGCTTTTAAAGACAATTCTTATTCAGTGCTGAGAAGCAGTGATAAATCCATATAAATTTCAGATGAGATTAAAGAGGAGAATAATAAAATCCAGGAGAAATCTAATTTTAAATTTAATCCCAGAGTTAACTGGCTCTCATACCAACAAGGTCATGATAGATATTAAACTAGTTCTCAGAAACTTTACCCAGGTGTCTTTAGTTTGTTGCCAGAAATTGAAAGATAACCACGGAGACCCAGAATTCAAGAAATCTGACAACAGTATCTAAGTGTGTCCAGAAGAGGGAGCATAATAGTTTTGCTAGTCAAGTAAAGCTCAGACACTTTCATTTCTGCAGGAATTTGACCAAGTTCTCCTATATTTTAATTTCTATTTGCTAAATCTGGTAGCCCCAATTGTGATCTTATTTTATTGGGTTATTTACATGTGCATGTATAAAAGCTAATACTTTAGGATCTTAATATAATGATATGTATAACTTTCTTTTTCAAATAGTTTCAAATATTCTATATTTACTTATACAAATATGTGCTATACATAAATGTGTATAAACATATAGTTATATAAGTAGCAAATAATAAAGTAAATGGAGAGAAATATTAATATTAATATTTAATAATTTAACATTCACCTACCATTATAATATTAAAATATTATCATGATATAATATTTTATATTGTGATAATATAATAATACTGGGATATGATAATATCTCATTTATTAAGGATATGAATAGTTTGTGTTATTTCAAATGTTGCTACTTTGTTTAACATTATTTTGAAATGAAAACTCTGTAAAGAAAAAACCCTGGTGTATAGGAATTATCCATTCCTTTAAGGTTTGAAAAACTTTGGAGCCGCGAAACTCTCATTTGATAAGTTTATCATGAAATTACACTTTCATCACTATTTTGGGTTGTCTGATCCACCCTGTTTTATATGAAATGGGGAACAGAAAGCATTATTCCAGTTCATGGAAGTTTCACTCCCATCTGTTGCCCAGAGTCCTGGTGATTTATCAAGACTGGTAGATTTCTCCTTGCAAACCATTCTTAAGCTCTGGTCAGGATATCTGGTTGAGTTTACAACCCACAAAGTCTCTCTCTAGGTTTTCCACATGCCCTTTCACTCAAAATTTTGTTAATTTCTAGAAGTGCGGACACCAAATAGAACCTGGGGACTCTCTTTCTAATCACCCTCCTATCTGAAGACTTAAGTTCTTGACAACTCTCTCATTTTGTTCCGTGAGTCTTCTGAAAAGAGAAATATTTTCTTGTTCAACAAAGATGTTTGGCATCAACCCTGGTGAACTCTATGGAAATAAACAAAATAAATGAGGAAAAGAATGAGCTTGCAAGAAGATTTCTACTTTTATCCCTATTTCATAGAATCTTGGTAGAGACAAGGGGAGACAACAAGAAATAAAAAGAGGCTGTGTGGGTCCCACTGATAGCACAGTGAGTA